AATAAAAAATCCCTTAAAAAATATGTAGGCTCAGTGCCACAATTAACAATGCCTCAGAATTAACTTCAGTAAAAGGCACCGTCTTTATTTGACACTTACGACGTTCCCTTTGATTTTGATGAAACGAAATAAAGAGTCCGCATGAACCAGTTTCACCTCCAGCTCTGGCTATATATTGAGGTTGGTATTTGTTCTCAAGTCAAATTCTCTCGTTCTTCCGAGAGCAGAAATTTCTTCCAAGGTTTTCCAATTTCTTTTTAGTTTTAATTTAATTCATGCATATTATTTTACAATAGATAACAAGCCATTTATTCAAGGGTTTTCTTGAATTTGATTTTCTTTCTTCATATTTCAGTTCCATATGCTGCAGTTTGATTATGGTTTCTCTCACGTTTAATCGCGCTTCTTAACCTGTACTTTGTTCTTTTTGAGTGTTTTTCCTCATGGGTAGGGATAATCTTCTTGATGCAGAGTTCCGTTTTTTCTGGGTGCCATTCTGTTGGATGCTAAGATAATATTAGCTCTAGTGACACAAGATGATTCAATTGTTCTTATCCAAGCCGAATTGGGAAAAAGGAGGAGATAGTGAAGCTTCCAAGCTTATAATATCTCTTTTGCATGACTTGGGATCTGTCATTTGGTCATTAATCATCTCTGGAGGTCGATCAGAGGCTCGACTATGGCTTTGCAATGCTGTGTCTTGCATAAGCTGTATCTCTCCGCACCAGCAGCAGCGGTTATTTGTTAGCTTGTTGACATCCAAGCCACCAAGGAAGCGTTTAGCATCTCAACTCTTGCAAATAATCTTCCAAAAGAGGCCACATAGTGTGGGTTCAATCCTAGCCAAGAAAAGTTACATGCTTGAGAAGTTCTTTCAAGGCAAGTAATTTTTCGTGTTTTACTGAGTATCTTTTCGTCTTCCTTTACATTACTTAACATGAGTTTTTTCAACCTTTGAAATTTGTTTGCATAAAATGTAGTATAATTGTAACATGTTTCTTTTCTCTCTCTCTTTTTTTTTTTTTTTAGGGTATGTAGTTCCTTTCCTATAAATATAATTTTCTTCTCTCAAGAGAATTTGATATGGGTGATGTGTGATCTCAATGATCCGTGTGAACATGTATGTCATATAGCTACAACTGAGAATGTAGAGGTTTAGGGATAGGGAAGCTGATTGTTTTGGATTTTCATGTTCTAATTTTGACTCTATTGTTTAATGGTGCAGGAAACCCAAGACGCATTATGCAGTGGTTCTCTAATTTTGGAGATGGTGATTCCTTGGAGCACAAAAAGGGTGCAAAAGCATTGTCTCAATTTGCCTTTGTAAATCGGGATCTATGTTGGGAAGAGCTTGAGTGGAAGGGAAAACATGGGCAATCACCTGCAGTGGTTGCTACAAAGCCTCATTACTTTCTCGATTTGGATGTCCAACGAACGGTTGAAAATTTCCTTGAATATGTTCCTGAATTTTGGTCATCCAATGAGTTTGCTGACTCGCTAAAAGACGGCGAGATTTTATTCACTGATAACAAGTTCTTTGTAGAACTTTTTGTTGACTTGATGTATAAGGAGGATTCCAGAGATGTATGGGAGGTCATAAATGAATTTCTCGAGGAGGAGTCTTTTTCATCATTGTGTCATCATCTCCTTATCACTCTTGAAGAAGGTGACTTAATCATTTTTCTGAAATTACTTCAGAAATATGTGAATCCAAGAATGGAGCCTAAGGGTTTGGGTAATTCATCTTTCTGGATAGAGTTCATACTTTACAAGTTCTATGATTTTGAATCTTTCGATCAGTTGCTCCTGTTAAATGCAATTATCAACCAAAGGAGACAGCTTCTTTGGCTTGTACGTGATGAAGAATGCCAAGAAGAATGTTCAACAGTTAAAGATCTTGTGTCACAAATTTGCAAGGCCTCAAGTGATGCCAAGAGCTTGGCTCCAGTACTTAAAGAGTGCTTTGAGAAAAGAAACACAGATGTAATAAAATTGTTGGGGCTTTATTCCTGGGTTATTTATTGTAAATTATCAGAGAAATGTGACAGTGCTGAGTGCTGGGAATCTTTGTTTGCAAGTAATGGGATAAAGTTTCACAGATCTGATAAATATTCGTTGCTTCATCACAATGGCTCATTTGATGAAAGTGAATCTGAATTTGATGATAGACCATCAGTTAGGCATAGGAAGAGAAACAAAAGCAGAAAGAAAAGGAGAAGGGACTCTGATAACGAAGGAAGCTGTGTCAAGGAGCTGCTGGCTTTTGATACCTCATATGGAAAGTTGGGGTCCCCTTCAGAAACTGGAAGTTGGTTGCTCTCTACTGATGACTTTTCTACATCATGGACCAATGTGAGTTTTCATTCCACTAATTCTAGAGAATAGACGTTCTAGTTAAGAATTCTTGCTTCCATCCATATGTAAGTCTTGATTCCTTGCTGTCCAATGCTATAATCTTTGATATGTGCTAGTAAAATGAATCATTTGGAGAAAACCACGGCTTTTAATACCGGATGCAGTATTTTAGTGTTTTTCAGTTGCATCTCGACTTAGTTGTTGTTAAGAAGATTAGTTTCTATATTTCTTTTTTGCTCTTTAGATTTAGTCTCTATATTGCCATTTGTGTGTGTATATGCATGTGCCTTCATGATGCATCTGTATATATTGAAATATTGGTTAGCGTATAAAAATCTGTGCTTCGTGGGTTTTCTGATCTTATCATTCTGACAATTTCAGGTAGATTTACCAGAACATATTTCACAACACTGTTTGTCTACATGGATGAATTGGCTTGTTCCCAAGTGGAAAGACATGGCTTAATTGCTTGGTAGGGAATCACATACTCTTAGTAATATTGTGTATTCTTTTTCCTTTCAATTGCTGAATCATCCAAACCTTTTTTTTTTTAATTGCTAAAAGAAGGGCCATAAATGCCAAATGTAGGGAGGACAGGAAAATTTGTCTTTAGATTTAATGATATTTCTAACATTTATTAATTACATTATTTCCAGAAGGTTGGTCAGTTTGTATGGAGAGGGAATATCCGGCAATTGACTGTATCAAGCCAACATCAGCTGATAAACTGAATGACTTGTTATTTGACAGGACTTGTCTAATGGTGCAATGACATTCTACTTGGATTATAGATTTTTCGGGCTGAGGGTTTAAGAGAAAAAGTTTATTTACTTTATTTTTTATTTTGGCTTGCAGGCAGCTGTAGTGCCCTGCCACCAACCTCTGTTGTTGGGCTTAGTTGCCGTTCAGTATGGTAAATTATCTTCACTTGAGGCATATTTCCTTCATTGTGTTGGGCATGTTTACTTCAGGATGAAGTTTTCATTTGAAGAACACGTATTCTTTTATGGGCAAAACTTGACTTTGCCTAGCTGAAGCTATTGTAGAATCAAGAAGCACCATAGCTTGACATTCTAAGCATTTGGTACGCTCCTCTCCAGTAAAAGCATTGTTCTTCCTTTTTTTTGAGGACTTGATGTGTTAGTTGAATGTATTTGACCTCCACTGAGAACTTAGATGGGGAGACTTGTGATACCTGGCTCTCCCTCTTTGGAAGCTTGGTTTGGAGAGATTTCAAAACATTGGAATACATTACTGAATGGTGCTTTCACATGTTCAAATATTGAAGGATTAAACGTACATGACACCATTTAGTTCTGTACAAATCAATTGCATTCAAGCAAATGTGAAACATTATTACAAAAGTTGTTACAGAGAGCTTAGCCTAATTTACAATTTCTTAGGACAAGTTCTTAAATTGACAAATGATTGATCTAAGATGTTGGTCCCTAAAAGGTGGCAACTAATTATCAGGTGTGCAGTTTTTTGTCCACGATCAGGAATCAATCATACAGGAGCTTTTTTTTATCACCAGCATGAGTCCTAGGCTCAGAGAGCTTCATTATCAGGAAGCCATATAGCATCGGTTACACCTTCACCATCACCTGCAAAAGGAGGAAAGAAAAAGTGAAATAAACAACCAAACTGAAATTTAGTTTCGCAAGAACTCAACGGATGGAAACAGAATGAATTTCAAAGTTTTAAGACTGAAGTTAGCTCTAATGCAATCAGCTCTAAAATTGTTCCATCAAATTCAGGAAAGTGAAGAGTCTCTCAAGACGGGTTGAAGTGAATATCATTTTAGGATCATTAATCATATCCGTAATGATAAATAAACGGCATCATACACAACTTTCTTAATACTACTAGACCTTGTCAAAATTTCACCTAAGGTGTTCTATCTCCGAAAGTT